ATGTATGTATGTATGTATGTATGTATGTATGTATGTATGTATGTATGTTATTCAGCTTTGTTCAGGTATTTTCCCGCATCATTATAGTTGTGCTTTTAAAGTTGTAGCAACGTTTTGGCAGAATCTCATCTGCCATCATCAGGCTTCTGTATTGTGTTCGTCTGTGAGTCAGACTTTCACAGCTTTTTCTGTTTAAATTTGGTGCTAGCCTACTGCTGTGCCAGATTGGTTTTTTCTTCTTCCTGATTGGTTGGGAGTCTTGGTCTGTGTTTATTGGTCTTGGAGTTTGCTGTGTTCTGCTTAATTGGTGTTTCTAATATCTTCTGTCTGTTTTGTAGCTTTTTTTGTCTTGATTGGCTGGCAACATTGTGTTTCCTGTATTGGAGGCTTTTAGTGTGGCTTGGCTCTGAGTAAACAGACGGCTATCATTTATTAGGAAGCTAAGTTTCATCTGGGAGCCTGGTTGGTGTGTGTTTGAGCTGGAGGTATCAGGGGGGATCTATTTGTGCCCAGGTGTTTGCCTGTCTTGTGGGGTGGAGATTTTTTTGTTGGAGAGTGCAAGCTTCCAGATAATTGACAGTCTGGTGGAATCATCTCTTCTATTCATGCTTTCAGGTCTTTTTTCAATCTCTATGGCTTCTCTGATAATTCTGTGGCTGGGGTTTTCTATAGTGGCTAGGGTTTTGGTGCCATTGGAGTTGATGGAAGCCACAGGTCATAGCACCAACTTCAATGGCACCAAAACCCTAGCCACTGTAGAAAACCCCAGCCACAGAATCATCAGAGAAGCCATAGAGATTGAAAAAAGAGCAGAAAGTATGAATAGAAGAGATGATTCCACCATACTGTCAATCATCTGGAAGCCTGCACTCACAAACAAAAAAATCTCCACAGCACAAGCCAGACAAACACCTGAGCACAAACAGATCCCCCCTGATACCTCCAGCTCAAACACACCCCAACCAGGCACCCAGATGAAACCTAGCTTCCTAACTAATGATAGCCGTCCATTTACCAGGAGCCAAGCTGCACTAAATGCCTCCAATAAAGTAACACAATGTTGCCAGCCAATCAAGATACAAAAAGAGCCAAAAAACAGACAGAAGATATTAGAAACACCAATCAAGCAGAACACAGCAAACTCCAAGACCAATAAACACAGACCAAGACTTTCAACCAATCAGGATGAAGAAAAAACCATTCTGGCACAGCAATAGGCTGCCCCAAATTTAAATCTGAAACCACT